GAATAGAATTTTGGAGAAAAATTAGAGGAATAGTTAACATCTTTATTCTATTATTATTTTTCTACAATCTTTTTCTGCTGTTTCTTAGTTTCCAGCTGTTGCCAAAATTTGCTGAAAGCCTCTCCGAAAAGATTAGAAAAACTCAATGCTAAATTTGTCATTTCAGACATCTTTTTCAGACAACAGCGGCTTCAGTCGATCAAACGCAAACAGCCGAGCCATTAAAGATCAACATTAAGGTAAAACTTTTTTGTCAGAACAAACATCAATATTTTTGTAAAACTGAAGAAATCTGGCACTTACCCTTTGCGTTTGAACGTCAGAAAAGGACTCTATCCGCGGAATTTTGCGATAAACTTTAAAATCACAATTACAGCTTCTTCCACCTCCATACGAGGACCTTCAACAAAAGCCAGCATCTCCTAGCACACCGTCACCGTTTCTACAATGCCTTCGACAATGTGATATCGGATGTCAACAGAGCTGTCGTCAGCGTTCTCCTCTTCCAAGCGAAGGTTGTGATGCGAGTTGCGTAAATACTTGTAACTACGTAAGTCTTGCACTTTACCGTAGTCATGTAGAGAATCAAAACTTCGAACTCCTATATGGATTTTGAAGGTATGTGCCTCTTCACAACCATCACAAATGATTACAAACGATGTTTCAATGTATCCGGTACGACTAGATCCACAGCAAAGGTAGTAATTTCTTGAAAATGTTAGGGTCAATTTGAGGGAACCAGCGAGATTCGAAATTGATTTGCCAACATTTAGATGCTCGTCTGAATGTCAGTCAGTTTGTCAACTGGCCTGTACAAGCCGTTCACCATCTAACCAATGCATAGATTCCTGTGTTCCAAAATGTGATCAAGCCTGCACATCTCCACAGGTTACTGCTATAAAATTTAATTACAAAAAAATTCATTCAAGATCCATGCTTAATTTACTTGCACTCAACTTATATGCATGTAAATTGCACTAAGAAAAGGAGAGATAAACATGAAAGGAGGAATACGAAGGAGAAATTATGTGATTAACCATTAAATTATCTCTTCAAAGTTATTCTAGTAACCAATCAAAGCAACAATAACTTTGTCTCAAAAAATGGAATTACGTCATGCGAAATATTTGAAAATCGTTCTTTAATTTTTTAAAGAGCGAGCTTACTTTTCAAAATGTTGCAATGTAACGTCTCTACTTTCAGCTGGGTCCCAAGACAACTTAGACAATGTGCAAGATGCACTTGTTCTTTACGGTTAGCAAACCAGTGATACTCTTTGTCATGGTGTCCTATTTAAATTGTTGCGTTGTCTGTCATGCTGTCATGTTTCTCAGCGAAACGCTGCTTACCGATGTTTGCACAGTAGCGTAGATTTGGAGTGGAAAGTAAATGTATTAGAAGAAAGTGTTTCTTGCATGAAATGTACATGTAATTTACTAACTGCATCTTAAATTTGCATGTGTTGGAAATAGAAACAACAATAAGGGATAATTTAACTCAA